TTGGAAGGCCTTGAATGTCAGACTATGGAATTTATCAAAGCTGAATTTGCAGGTCATAGGGCCACAGAAAGTTGTTTTTTTTTTTTTAAATAGTGTTGATGGACTTTATTTATATGTAGTGCTAAGATCGAACTCAGTGCCTCATGCATGCTAGGCAAGCGCTCCACCACTGAGCCACAAACCCAGCCCACCACAGAAAGTTCTGAAGCAAGAGAGGACACTTTACTTGAGTCCCTTTTATTTTTTATTTTGAGACAGGGTCTTGCTAACCTGCCCAGGCTGGCCTGGAACTTGCAATCCTCCTGCCTCAGCCTCTTGAGTGGCTGGGATTACAGGCATGTGTCACAGCACTGGGCTTAGAACATTTTTATTGGAAATGCCATTCTTATAATAAAGGAAAATTAGGAAACAATAGGTTCTGTGTCCATAGAATACATACTTTTGACTACTTTTTCCTTCCATTTCTATAGCTGTGTAAGAAATATTGATCAAATAATTTAGTAAGTGGGATTGGAAAGAGTTCTTGTAGTAATGTCACTCGATTCGCTAATTTTCCAATTTATATGTCCAAATTCCAGTATTCTAAGTTATTTTTTATCTATCTGCTGAAAATTCCACATGGCCCTCCTTCCATTTTGTTAGGAACAAAGAACTGGAATACTTGATTACAAAAGCATATCACCAACTACATGGAATCATTCACTTTCCCCCATCAATACGGTGTCTTTGTCTCTCTATCTGGCCCTTTGGAGATTGTTATACCCATGACAAACCCAATAGTGAGATTTTGAGTAGAAAAAAGTACTTTTTCTTTTGTCAAGTGGGAGGGTGCTACTGTGAACAATTTTCTGAGTCATAACAATTTCAGAAAAGAGTATGTATGAAAGTCCAAGCTCTAGGGCTGGGGACCTGAAACACCGGTCTAGCATGGGTGAGGTACTAGGTTCTACTCCCAGTACCATAGAGAAAGTTCAAGTTCTAGAAACAAGATTTCTGAAGGCTCTCTGTTCCTACATGCCCCTTGTTTGATGGCCTCTGCTTTAGGGTGCCTTGTTGACCAAGTATGTCAGTAGTCTCAACCTCCTGTATCTCAAGTACAACCAAGACACAGAGAACCAACAAGGGTCCACAGGGAAGAAACAGAGGCACCATATCCCACATTTCAGTGAGATAATGACTCTTATTAGTTGCGAAGCAGATTGAATGAATGTTAGCTGCAAGGTGGGCTGAACACTCCGAGCCTCACCTGTCTGGCTCCTGATCGCTTATTTGCCTCAAGTCTGAACTCAGCCCCCGCCAGTCTGGTGCAACAGAAACCCACTTCTAGCCCCTGCCCAGTCTGCCTAAGGGCAGAAGATGACACCCTTAGCGATGACTGTATGTTCCAATCACTGCACACCAACAAGGCAGCTTGCAGACCCAAAGACCCAGTAGATATTGGCTATAAAAACTCCTGCCGGGCCCTCTCTCTCTCATGCTTTCGCTTGCTCTGTCACTCTCTCCTCTCTCTCACCCTCTCTCTCTCACCCCCCCTTCTTCTCTTTCTCTGCTCTTTTTTCTTTCTCTCTTTTTCTCTTCCTTCACTGTTAATCAGACACTGCAGCAATAAAGATCTTGGTCACTCCGAGTGTTGTGGTCATTTTCCTTTCAACTATGAGACTGCAAAGCTGCACAAACTGCATAGACTGTACAAAATTTTGATAGTTCACAGTAAAAATAGCTTAAAAACAAAAGCTCGGGCTTTAAAACCTAAACAGAAGGAGTCATTCTATTAGTGGTTCAAAGTTAAGTCTGAGTCTTGAATATACATTTTATCACTATAAGAATAAAATAGAAACCATTTCAATAATGGCAGTGGTAGGTATTGGCAGTCTTCAGAAGGCAAACAACATCTGGAGAAAAATATGATCAAAAGAACAAAATCAGTTCTAAGGGAGGTTGGGCAGCAGAGTGACCCCACGGCACTGGTTCTCAATTTGAGTGGTTCTCAGTGTGACCCCAGAGAGAGCCAATGTCTTGTCATCATGACTTGGGAGAGGAGGAAGATTCCCCTGGCACCTAGTGGGTGGAGGCCAGGAATGCGGCTAAACACCTTATGATGCTTAGGACAGCACCCTGTCCTAAGAAACTGTCCATCTTAATTGTCCATAGCAAAATGTCAAATCTTGCAGGGGGCTGGGGATGTGGCTCAAGCGGTAGCACGCTCTCCTGGCTTGTGTGTGGTGCTGGGTTTGATCCTCAACACCATATAAAAATAAAATAAAGATATTGTGTCCACTGAAAACTAAAAAAGAAATATTAAAAAATTCTCTTTAAAAAAAAAAAATCTTGCAGGGATCCAGGCACGACTTGAGAGGCTGAGGCAGGAGCCAACAACTTTGGTCATTACATTCTTGAGACTCCCCGGTTCTCCTCCCTCCTTTCCTAAGGAAACACTGTAGCGCATCAAGACCAGGACAAACGAAAACTTCACAAATCAGCTTTATCCAGGAACAAAGTTTCACACCGGAGAAGGGGATGCAGGGACAAATGATGCCACGGTGGGACCCACTTTTCTGGTGGGAAATGAGCCCCCAAATAAAGGAAGGATCTGGGCTTATATAGATTATTCTGAGAGGTGGTCTAGGGAGCACATCAATCTTCTTTGTGAACCCAGGGATTTGCAGTTAGTTCTATCAATCAGTGAAGGGGTCAGTTTTAGTGCCTGGGAACTAAGGGTCTGTTTTACGGGGCGGAATGAGAGGGAGTCTAGGGTCAGTGGTCAGTTTCTGGAATTTATTGAACTGGACCTGATGGAGGGCATGGGGTCAGTGCTGGTATGTGGGAAGAATCTGTTTACAGAAGGGTTAAATGCTTCAGTCTCTTCCCAGAGATGCTTTCCAGGTTCGATGGAAACCTCTTCCTCAGGGTTTGTTTTATCACCGGGAAAGAATACATTGGGAAAGGATCAATGCTCTCAATGCATGGCTTTCCTTCTCACTCCCCTTTCCCCAGGTCTCTCTACTTTTGGGGTTTGTCATTTCCCATACCTAATACACTTTCTCCATATTTAGAAAAAACAATAAACTTCAAACATCTTTGGAATGAAAAGAGATACATAAAGAATGTGAAATAAGAGTCTCTGGATTCCTTTTGTATTAAAAAAAATTTGTCTACCAGAAGAAGACTACACACTTTGTTTGGAAGGTGGGAATAATTAAATAATGACAAATATATATTACCTACTGTGATGTTTTATGAGGACAAGAAAGCTAAGATACTGTAAGAAGGGACCTGAGCTAGGACCAAAATATGAATTATTCCCCAGTGGTAAAATACAGGGAGGGCTTCAGTGGGCCAACCTGACTTTCTAAGTCATTTATTGTTACATAGAAAGCCTCAAGGTTAATTATGAAATATATATGAAAAGTAGGCAAACCAGTCCACAGAAATCCCTCTGCGTATCACACTCGTGGGGGCACTTAAGTCTTCATCACCCTTGTCTCTTCTTTATTCCACTCCACCTAGCAGTAAATCACTGGCTTCACTCTTACAAATAACTTCCCCCTAGCCCATCACTATATACCAGCACCAAGCCCCCTCTTGTTGTCTGGATTAATGAATGCCCTTGCCTTCTAGTCAATTCTGAATTCATTCTCTATATTGCAGTCATAGGGGATGTTCTTTGTTACTGCCTAAAACCTTCCAGAAGTTTCCACCTTATTCAAAAGGTAAGTTGTTCAGAGTGGCCCACAAGCCCATAAGGCAGCCCTCTTCTGTCTTTTCTCCTTGCTCTGCTCTACTCACCCCTGCCTCCAGGGCTTTGCACTTGGTCTTTTCTGGCCAGCTCCCTCAGGACTGAGCCTAAGTGTCCCTGGATCCAGAGGCCTGACTGCCCTAGGTGTACTTCCTCACAGAACTTGTGCACTCTCTATCCCTTTTCCCACCTTTAAAAAAAAAAAAAAAAAAAAAAAAAAAAAAACTTTTTTTTTTTTTAAGCAACTGCCTGAAATAAATGCTCCCCCCTGACAACCCCTCCAGGGCAAACTGGGTGCCGAGCTCGCTGGTTCAGGGGTGCCCGGCCTAGCAAAGGGCCTGGTTGTTGGGCCACTCAACACTTTTTCCGCGGGTCCACGATTGCCGCTGTCTGGCTCCAGCGACTTCCGAGTGGCCTCTCGTGAAGCTCCTCTCCTTTTCCAACAGGGTGAGAGGCACTCAGGGCGGCGGGGCCCCACGACCCCCTTCACCCATCGGTAGAGATGGGTGAACTGAGGCGCGCAGGTCTCCGGGCCCGGCGGCGCGGAAGCCGGCCAGAGGAGACCGCCGAGGAGGCCCCAGGCAGGCCGGGCTTCGGTTAGCACGTCGGCTGTGCTCAGCGGGGACGGTGACATCGTTCGCTGCAGAACAGGCAGCTCGGCGCGCACCGAGGGAAGCACAGAGCACCCTAAGCTACCGGGACGTCGCCGCCTGCCCAACTCGCCGAAGAAAGGCATCCGGTGCATCCATTATGGCGCCGACGGCGGCGGGAGAGGGGCAACTGAAAGGAAATGGCGCCGGGGCGCGCGGCCAGGCTCGGCCGGCCCCGGGCGGCGCGGCCCAGGGCCGCCAGGGCCACTAGGAGGGCCGGCCAGAGACCCGAAGATCCTGCTGGCTTCTGGCACTGCAGACCCTGAAACTTTGACTACAACATGGAGGGCAGTTATTGTCTCTGCACGGCAGCCACCACAAGCACGCCTCAAGCTCGTCCCGCGGTCGGAACTCAGCAAAATCCTCTATTCTCTAAACAGAATGCGCTACGCACACTGCGCATCTACGCAATAGTGGGCCGGGTAACGACGCACAGAATGTTACGTTGCGCCGGAGGCTCTTCCCCCCTCCCACTCCACGTTTGGGTTCAGTTGGCGCGAGAGCTCTACGCCCTCTCCGTACTTTGTTTTTCTTAGCCCAACCGCAAAAAGCGCCCATTTCCGCAACTGACGCAAAACGCTTCCAAGAATCGCCGTAGCGCCCCGCGGACCCCCTCGGGCTATTCCGAGACGCTGTTTACGTATCATCTCCGACGTACGTAGCGTTAAGTTGGAGCAGTCTCAGCGGCGGCCGCCATTTTGTGCAGTCGCTGGGAAGGAAGGAGACGCCTGAGCCGCGGCAGTGCCGGGTTTGAGCGTAGCCAAACCTACCCACCGTTTTTATCACCCCGATTCTCTGTGTTTTGCTCCCGTCTCCGACGAGAGAGGCGGCGACGGTGGCGTCTGCGACGGGAGACAGCGCGTCGGAGCGAGAGAGCGCTGCGCCTGCCGCCGCCCCAACAGCGGAGGCGCCGCCGCCATCGGTCGTGACCAGACCGGAGCCGCAGGCCCTCCCGAGCCCGGCCATTCGTGCCCCGCTCCCAGATCTCTACCCATTTGGGACCATGCGCGGAGGCGGCTTTGGCGACCGGGACCGGGACCGGGACCGCGGAGGGTAAGGGGACCGCGGGGGCGCGGAAGGCCAGGCCGCGCGCTCGGGGCGGGGGGAACAAGGCTCCCCAGCGGCGGCGGTGGCCCTGAGCGCAGGCCTCGCCGCGGGGTCCCGGGGTCGGCGGCTCGGCCTCAAGGAGCGTCACCTTGCGGGAGGCCGTCGTGGAGGCTCGGCCCCGCCTTGGGGAGCGAGCGGGAGGGGCGCCGCGGCGCCGCAGCCCCGCTGGCCTCGCCCGCTTCCCGGCCTCGGGACCCTGCAGTCGCTCGGAGTCATTTGATCCGCAGGCCGCGGCCTCACCTGGAAGGAACGCGGTGGGTGTTCTCGGTCTGCCGAGGGCAAGCCCGGCGCCCAGTGGCTCCACTTGGGTCGCGTCTCCAGCGGTCACCGCTAATGGCACCGGAGCGTGAAAAAACACTTTTTCCCCCCTTTGTTATTTTATTTTATTTTGCACCCAGGGTCTCGTGCAGCCCCGGCAGGCGCTCCACCCCGGGACTGCACCCGCGGCCCCACCTCTGGTTTTATAACACAGGTTTTAATCGCCTTCGGTCACACCTCGAATAACCGCGAGGAAGCACGTTGGGATGTAAAGCCAGTGGACTTAGTTGGCATCCAAATGATTGTGTTTGAGGAGAGGGGTTGGGGTGGCTATTTTGTACTTCTAATTTTTTAGTGTACCTGTGATCCGATCTTTTTTCTTTTTCCCTCTTAATTGTACTGCAACATCAACTTCTCGGCCTAAAAGGAAGTTTTTGATGTTGTAATGCCATAGTTAACAACACCGAGGTTGGACTTCAACTTGGGACTAAACCTGAAGTCCTCTCAGATCCAGAGATTTAAATCTTTTATTATAAGTTTACGAAAGGACCATGTTGCTTAAGGGATACAGGTATTTGCGCAGTCATCTTTTTATTTATAAAAGTGACATTTCTGGTTAAAGAGCATTGTGATTTTGGGCAGGATCCTTTTGTGACGCTCTATTTCTTCATCTGAAGGCAGCGGTAATGCCTTCATTTTGTTGTGTTCTCAGAAATTAAGAGAATGTGGGTGGCGCATTTGTCTTGCTGTAGTTAACTCGTCAGTTAATAATATTCTTTTCAAACATTTGTCTTTGGTTCAGAGGCCCAACTATCAGCCTTACTTAGTCTCAGGCACTTCAGTTATCACTTAGGCCAAATAAAAATCATTTCAGTTTATATATTGTTAGGAAAATATTTGATCTTAGTGCCTGATTTGAAGGGGAGAGCTCCACCTTTAGCCAAGTTCAGAAGTGGACTTCAATACCACCACTAAGAAAACATCTGGGAAAGTTGAAAGGGACCTTCTCTAAGCTTTACTCTCAGTACATAAGACCTAGAGAAGTCCTCCCACATGTGTCCCAAGATCCATGTGCAAAAATGCTTTTTACCAATATTGTTCCTGACACAAGGATATTGGAAACAAATGTCTGGGTAAATTGTGGGTGTTCATATTTGAATACAATATAATAGTGGAAAAGAAAAAAACTTTGTTCAACTTGGATGACTTACAAACATGTTGAGCTAAGAGCCAAAGTTGTAGTAAGACAAGTTTAAGGGTATATAAATATGATATAAAAACCAGGGGGGTAAGCTGGGCCCAGTGTTGCATGCTTGTAATGCTGAGGCAGGAGGATTGAAAGTTAAAGGCCAGCCTGAACTATCTCTACCAGGCTGGGGTGGGGGTAGGGGTGGTTTATTGGTAGAACGCTTGCCTAGCTTACATGACACTCTGGGTTCTATCCCCAGTACTGCTTAAAGAAAAAACAAGGGAGGGGGGTAACAGAATTCAAAGCAGTGGTTATGGTGGGGAGGGGTTTAAGCTAAGAATAGGCAGGTGGAGAATACCAAAATACTGGTAGTGTTCTGTTTACTTACCATGGGTGTTTGGTTTAACATTTCCTTTCACCATATTTATACTTTAACAATAAAATTATTTGAAAAGAGAAGAAAGTTTCTGGTTCATATTTTATCCCATACTGGGTTGTTGAGTATTAGATGACATTTAAAAAACAAAAGCTTTTTTTAAAAAGTCTCAAACAAAACAGCATTCTTCATAAGTCCAATGCCCTAACTCTGCTTTGCCTGAATTTTCCTTTATAATTTGAATTGCTATTGTTTTCATTCTTCACTAAATGTTACAGAGCTGAATTATTGTGCAGTGTAGGGTACTTTTTAAAATTTTTTTGTTTGTTTGTTTGAAAAGGGGATGGATGAGATCAGCATGTGAATGGTCCAAAAAAGATTGCACATTTAAACAGGTGTGATTTGTATGTTGATAAAAGAATGTTGGAGTCTTAAGAGCTGAATTTATTGCATAGCCAAATAAACCATTTAATCATTACTGCTACTTACTTGATAAAAGTATTTACTGATCATTGTAGTATACCAGAGAGTAGGATATGGGTAGGTGTGATGGGTGGCATGGAGATGCTCAAGACCTGGATGGGGTAAAAGACTGCCTTGAATTTTGGGGTCAGCATTATAGAGGAGATGGCATATTTTCTAATAACTTTAAACTTCAAATTATATATTTAGTATAGAGTCATGTGTTTTGAATAATAAACCAGCTAGAAAAGAAAAATGCGAGTGATCCTTTTAGAACAAGCCATAAAGGAGGTCTGGGTACGTAGCCCAGTGGTAGAGCGCTTGCCTAGTCTGTGAAACCCTGAGTTTGATCACCATATTTGCATTTTTTAAGAAGTTTTGTTTTGGGGCTGGGGATGTGGCTCAAGCGGTAGTGCACTTGCCTGGCATGCGTGCGGCCCCGGTTCGATCCTCAGCACTACATACAAACAAAGATGTTGTATCCACTGAAAACTTTAAAAAATAAATAAATATTAAAAATTCTCAAAAAAAGTAGTTTTGTTTTCTCCTAGATAATTTGCTTAAGGTTTGGATAACCAACACTGGAATACAGCAGAAACAGTCGATATGAAGTAGGCTGACAATCGCTAGAAATTGGGTTTTAGTATTTTTATTTTCTTCTTTGCAAGACTAATAATCTAAAAGCTTGATTTTATATTCCCCCACTGCCCCAGTGCTGGGGGTGAACCAGGGCCTCATCTATGCTAGGCAAGTGCTTTACCACTGAGCTAGACCCTCCAGCCCTTTTAAGTTGCCTAGGCTGACCTTAAACTTAGGTTCCTCCTGTCCTGGCCTTCAAGTACCTGTGATTAGAAATGTGTGTGGTGGTGCAGTTAGGTTATATTTCTTGAAATAGTACCTGTTTCATTTGCAAGTGGGGGTGGTATCCAACCTAGGTATTAAGCCTTAAGCTGAGAGCATATTAAAGACAGTGTAGTGTACTCTTTGTGTAAGAGTAAGTTACTCTGTATGTATTCTTTTTTCTCTCTGCATGTGTGGTGATGGAGATTGAACCTTGGACCTCATGCTTGCTAAGCAAGTGCTCTTCCTGAGCTGTATCCTCAGCAGCTACATGTATTCTTTTTTTAATAATATTTTGTTTTATTTGTAGTTGAACAACACTGTCTTTATTTTATTTTTATGTGGTGCTGAGGATTGAACCCAGAACCCCCGCATGTGCTAGGGGAGTGCTCTGCCGCTGAGCCACAACCCCAGCCCTACATGTATTCTTATACTGTTAAAGCTTCTCCTCTTTTGTTTCCTGATTTCTCCTTACCTGTTAAGCAGCAATATAAATGAAATGAAATTAGCCAGGTTCTGTCCATTGAGATACCTAGTGATCCCAATAAAATTTCCTGCCAGAAATGGAAATAACTAGTTATTCTCAAAGCTAAAGATTTCTAATAGTTTGAATTATAGGAAATTGAAGCTCTTTAAAATAGCTATTGCTGAACTTTCTGCAAGATGATACAAGTGAGAGTAGATGCAACAAATTAGATTCAATACAGTGTTTTACATGGAATAAGTAAATGCAATTAAAAAGGGGCTATATAATTTGTATACCAAAATCTTATTAATTTAGAGAAATGAAGGCCTTCTTAGTGTTAGGATTCTTCTAGGAAAAGAAGCTTCTAATATATTTTAGGTTTAGCTAGTGGCCATGTTTGTATTATTTAGCTTTCTTATTTTAAAAGGTATATAATGGGAGATTGATTTTGTGTAATTTGTTAAATTTGAAAACCTGGCGCTGGGAGGCTGAAATAGGAGGATCACAAGTTGTAGGTCAGCCTGGGCAACTTAGACCCTGCTTCAAATTTTTTAAAGTGCTGGGGATGTAGCTTGGTTTTAGAGCACCCCATAGTTCAACCCAGTACTTGGGGAGGGGGTGCGAAAAGAAAAAAACACTTTAAAAAGGTTTATTGAAGGTTTCTTCTGTCAACTAATAGTACTGTTTGCTCAGGGTTGGAAGATAAGATGGAAACAGGAGGAGGGAAAGCTCATAAATCTGATTCCTTTGGATGTTACCATAAACTGAATTTCAGTTTCAGGTGAAGACTGTCTTACTACTCTGCTTAGGTCCCATAGGCCTTTGCAGAAAAGGAAATGAAAAGTACTAGTCATGGTGTAAAGAGAGGAGGGGCCCAATAAGCTGTTCTAAGATATGGAGATTTGGTTGATTTTTGTGGTTTTTCTCTCTGACCACAATCTTTTTGTAGATGGATACAGTGCCTTTATTTTATTTTTTTTTATTTTTAGTGGTGCTCAGGTGCCTCACCCATGCTAGGCAAGCAATCTGCCACTAAGCTACAACCTCTGTCCTCCCTGACTGCAGTCTTGCCCTTAATTTAAAGCTTAAACTAATGTCTTCTATTACATGGAGTTGGGCATTGTAATGTATCTAGCACCGCTCAAAATAATATCTGGCACCAACTATTTGTTCAATATATTAATGCAACTAACTGGCACTAAGTGCTTGCTGTGGTGAGTATTGTTTAAGTACTTTACACATGCCATCTTCACAGCTTACACAGTTGGTGGTACTTCTCTTTTTGCTCTATATAGGACATTGAGGCATAGAGAAGTAAATAATTTGCTCTGGATCAAACATTAAGAAGCAGAATTAGGGCTGGAGATGTAGCCCAGTTGGTAGAATGCTTGCCTCACATGCACAAGGTCCTTGGTTCAAACCCCAGCATCTTGCGGGGGGGGGGGGGGATTAAAATTCAAATCTTGTCTCATGCCAGAATGTGTTGTAATCCCTGTGGTGTATAGTTCTTTAAATATAGCAGTATGATTTTTTTTCTGATTTTTATCACACTTATAATAGTGTTGTTGGGTAGTAAAGGAAGTTTTAAAAAACTTCTCTATCTTTAAATTCATGTATAAAATTATTTGGGATGGGGGTGGGAAACTATAGAGTCAACGCTGTGGGCATTTTTATGGCATATAAGATATATCACTTGGGGCTGGGGTTGTGGCTCAGCAGTGGAGTGCTTGCATCACTTTAAATTAAAATATTAATGAACCAAAGACTGCACTGTATAGCTTAGTGGTAGAGCACTTGCCTTACTAGCATGTGCAAGGCCCTGGGTTCAACCCCCAGCACTGAAAAAAGAATTTTTAAAAAAGACTAATGGACTAAAAAAATTTCTTTATGTTTCTAGATTTGGAGCAAGAGGTGGTGGTGGCCTTCCCCCAAAGAAATTTGGTAATCCTGGGGAGCGTTTACGTAAAAAGAAGTGGGATTTGAGTGAGCTCCCCAAATTTGAGAAGAATTTTTATGTGGAACATCCAGAAGTGGCAAGACTGACTCCAGTAAGTGAGCGAGTGTGTGTGTGTGTGTGTGTGTGTGTGTGTTTTATCTTATACAAATTAAAGTAGACATACTGGCTGGAGTGTACTAGTTTTCAGTGGACACAACATCTTTGTTTGTATGTGGTGCTGAGGATCGAACCCGGGCCGCACGCATGCCAGGCGAGCGTGCTACCGCTTGAGCCACATCCCCAGCCCTATACTCTACTTTTAATTTAATTATAATAATTATTTTAGATTCAACCCATGAAATGGCTTTTTGTTAAGGGAAAAAAGTAATGAAAAGAGCACTTGGGCCAGATTTCACATTTTCTCCTTTTTCCTAGTTTTGACCTTAGGCACATATCGCTCATTCTGAGTATGATTTCTCCTATGTAAAATGGAACCCTTGTTCACCTGTATCATTAACTTATAAAGTTGAAGTAATGAAAACATTATATATTTAGTTTTGTTAGTGTGGATTGGGAGGTAATTGTCAGCTGGATTGTAACAAAGTTTTGAATTGTTGAGAATAATTTATACTAACTACTCTTCATTTCTTTCTTAGTATGAGGTTGATGAGCTACGCCGAAAGAAAGAGATCACAGTGAGAGGAGGAGATGTTTGTCCTAAACCTGTCTTTGCCTTCCATCACGCTAACTTCCCACGTAAGTGTTTTTTAATTCAGAATCTTAATTGTGGGTAGAATAGTAAACATGAACATTAGGCTATTTAAAGGTTTTGACATTGGCTCGGGATGTTGTTGAAAAAATATATATAAAGCCTTTCATGAAGGTAATAATTTATTCCATGTTACGGTTCCAAAAACATGTAAACCTGCTCAAGGCAAATCTCTTCTTGCATAAGAAAAAATTTTTCATGCTCTTCTGTTCTTCAGTTCAGACTGAGAAAAAGGTTTTTTCTATCTTCCCCTGGGGTTTTTACCTCTGTGTATTACAAAGCAGAATAAAGTTGCTTTCTAACTGGAGATAATATAATAAATTTGGCTCCCAAAAAAGGACTGCCCGTGATGTTAGATGCTTTAGGATAGTGGTTTTCAAAGATAGCAGTGAACTTCAGGGCAGAGTTTTAGGTTTTTTTGATTTTTTTTTTTTTTTTTAATAATAAATTTATTAGAGAGATGTAAAGCTGGGTAAATCTTAAAAGCCTAATAAGTTTTTGTTTGTTTTGTGTTTTTTTTTTTTGTTGTTGTTGTTGTTATGGTTACTGGGGATTGAACTCAGGGTCACTTGACCACTGAGTCACATCCCCAGACTTATTTTGTATTTTATTTGTAGTCAGGGTCTCACTGAATTGCTTAGCACCTCACCCTTGCTAAGGCCACTGGGATTACAGGCATGCGCCACTGCCCTCAGCCCTAATAAGTTTTTGAAGCCTGTTTTGTCTGCATTCTTAGTTTTACTTAAAAACAATGACATGTTTATTCTCTTACAGAATATGTAATGGATGTATTGATGGATCAACACTTCACAGAACCAACTCCAATTCAGTGCCAGGGATTTCCATTGGCTCTTAGTGGGCGGGATATGGTGGGCATTGCTCAGACTGGCTCTGGAAAGACATTGGCGGTATGTACCAGCAAGTGGTAATTATTTTAGTATCCTAATTGTTACATATACTTTTAAAAAATATTTATTTTTTAGTTATAATTGGGCACAACTATAATACCTTTATGTACTTAATTTTATGTGGTGCTGAAGATTGAACCCAGGGCCTCACACGTGCTAGGCGAAAACTCTACCGCTGAGCCACAACCCCAGCTCTGGCACATATACTTTTAATTCTTCATTAAAATGTAATTAGTGTAGGTAATATTTTAGCTGTTAAATGTGTGGAAGTATTTTTAAAATTTACATTATCATGAACACAGTAATGTTGAGTTCTGTTTTTCAGTTTCCTGTTTTAAGTATTAACTAATTACTGTTGTATTTTAGAATTATTAAGATAATGGCTTGTTTTGGGGTTGGGAGTGTAGCTCACTTGGTAGAGTGCATGTCTCACATGCACAAAGCCCTGGGTTCAATCCCCAGCACCCCACAAAAAAAAGATGGCGGCTTGTTTTTAATATAAGATTCTTGTTCTCCCCAGTATTTGTTGCCTGCAATTGTTCATATTAACCACCAGCCATACTTGGAAAGGGGAGATGGCCCGATTGTAAGTGTGTTTCAGTGTGTTTATAATTTTAATAAGAACTATAATTATTGTATTTTAAGTTTTATGCTTTATACACGTTATCTGATTTTGTTCTTAACTCCACTCTCCATATCTGGAAGTGGTATTACCACAGTTCTTAATTGCTCAGTGATGCTGTGAGAAATATAGAAAAGATGTGAGATGGGTTCCCTGCCCTGTGGTTCTTAAAATCAGGTTGGGATTTTGTGTGTGTGTGTGTACTAGCCACATATATTTGAAATGAGTGTGTATATTCTTGAGGATGTTTCAAAATACAAAATGATATATTGCTTTGCTTTATATAACATAGTGTATTCTATAGAGATTGTTCTTTTATCACTAGCTGATATGAGTGGATCAATGTATAGAGAAGGATTACTAGTTGCTCACAGTTTGTATAGTACATGTTTCAAGAGTCTTGATTTGGTATTATTTGGGCCAGATTCCATGTGATTCTGGCAGCTTACATGAACTGTTGTTTTTGCTTATGTACCCAGTGAAGAGAGCTTAAATGAGCAGTGTTGGCTCTGGCTTTTTTTTTTTTAATTCATTTGTATTTCTTGCTAATATTTAATCCATAGTTGTGTTGCAGGATATTTTTAAAACTGTTTGCTCGTTTTGCAAGAGTTGTATAGTTAAAACTAGGTAATAAAATTTGTAAATCTATTTAAGTGGTACATATAAACTGTAATGAATTATAATGCATCAAAGGCAGGTGAGAATGCTGCCAGTGTCATTCCACATACTAAATAGTGAATTCTAATCATTTTTCCCCCACCCCATGGTGCCCTTCTACTTCTCTGTTGACCACGCACCCCGTCACGATTTGAAAAGTATTAGATAATAATGGAAGAGATATTTTATTGTATTTCACAGTTATTTATGGGTTTTTATTGTTATTGTTTTCTTAACCTGCAATGTCTCAAGTGGGTTTTTGCCTATTTCAGTGTCTGGTTCTGGCTCCTACCAGAGAGCTTGCTCAGCAAGTACAGCAGGTGGCTGATGACTATGGCAAGTGTTCTAGATTAAAGAGTACTTGCATTTATGGAGGTGCTCCTAAAGGTCCGCAGATTCGAGACTTGGAAAGAGGTAATTTAAAAAATTATCAGGAATATTAGTTTATCTTACTTTACCAATTTCTGTGAATGATATAGAAGAAAGGAGTACGATATTGTGGGGAAAAAAATCAGTATTTTAGGAACTTAGAAATCCTCCGGTTTATTAGCTATTTTGGGAGAGGAATTACCACAGCTGGAAAGTCTTAACTTTGTAAGATTTAATGGTTATGCAAGAATTCTTAATGAACTAGATCTTTTTTGTTTTGCAGGTGTTGAGATCTGCATAGCTACTCCTGGGCGCCTGATAGATTTCCTGGAGTCAGGAAAGACAAATCTTCGCCGATGTACTTATCTTGTGCTGGATGAGGCTGATAGAATGCTTGATATGGGCTTTGAACCCCAGATTCGTAAAATTGTTGACCAAATCAGGGTGTGTAAAACTGATCTTTCACTATCTTTATATTCTTTGACTGTTGTTACAATTCGTTAGCCTAAAAGAAAGCCTTTCCTTTCCTGATAGCCTGATAGGCAGACACTGATGTGGAGTGCCACCTGGCCAAAAGAAGTGAGACAGCTTGCAGAGGATTTTCTTCGTGATTACACCCAGATCAACGTGGGCAATCTGGAGTTGAGTGCCAACCACAACATCCTTCAGATTGTGGATGTCTGCATGGAAAGTGAAAAAGACCACAAGTATGAAAGAGATGTTACTGTTTGTTTTAATAACACTGATGATAATGATCCAAAATTAAAAGTGAATCTAAAATTTTTTAGCCAGGCATGGTGGTGTATGCCTGTAATCCCAGGAGGCTGAGGCAGGGGGATTGCAAATTAAGGCCAGCCTCATCTCCTTAGAGAAACCCTGTCTCAAAAAGGATTGGGGATGTAGCTCAGTGGAAAAAGTGCCCCTGGGTTCAGTCTCTAGTACCAAAAAGAAAGAGAAACTTTTTTTTTGCTTTCTACTAATTCATCTTTTGTGTCATTTATTGGAGCATTGTGGTTAAAGAATTTTTACTGTGATGTGAAAAGAAAGTGCTGTAGTTTGGGGAGTTAATACTGCAGAGATCTGCATAGTATGTGGGGAGGCCTTTCCTGCATGATGACAGTAGTGTTGGTCTTTTTTTTTTCAGGTTGATTCAACTAATGGAGGAAATAATGGCTGAAAAGGAAAATAAGACAATAATATTTGTGGAGACAAAGAGACGCTGTGATGACCTCACTCGAAGGATGCGTAGAGATGGGTGAGTATGGCACTGAGATGATTAGCCTTGGATTTCTAAACTGGTGTTGTGAATGTTGTATTTTAATAATGCCCCACATGCAATTTATTTTTTAAATGGATAGTCATCTTTTGCAGCCTAACAAACCTTACCAAAATTATGTAATAGCATTTCTTTTTAAGGCTTAGCTTTCCTCTTTAAAGATTTTTAAAATATTGGTTACTTTTTTCCTGCTAGTTGGCCTGCTATGTGTATCCATGGAGATAAGAGTCAACCAGAACGAGATTGGGTACTTAATGGTAAGTTCCAAACTAAAGGGCCAGGTAGTGTTTTTGGCTTTACAAACCATCTGGCAGTCCCTGTTGCCACTGCTAAACTCTGCCACTGTAACACAGAAAGCAGCTGGCCATAGACAACATGAGAAGTCATGGCCTGGCTGAATTCCAACAAAATTTTACTAAGTGGCAAAAGTAAGTATTTAAGAACTGGGTGTGGTGGTATACATCTATAATTTCATAATTCATGAAGCTGAAGTAGAACGTTCAAGTTCCCAGGCAATCAATACACACACATCTTGCAGGGGTGGGGGGTAATAATAATGGTTTTTCTTCTTCATTCCACAGCTTTTTAAGATGTCCCCTAGCTTGTTTGTATAACTTGATTTTTCATTTGTTTTTGCAGAGTTCCGCTCTGGAAAGGCTCCCATCCTCATTGCCACGGATGTAGCCTCCCGTGGGCTAGGTTTGTATAGATAGGTGTCTGTGTCAAGGGTTTATGTATCTTTTTGGTTTAAAGATTTGTCATTTCAATTTTAGAATTGTATAAACATCTGTTTAGTAAAAAGAGAAGAATATAAGTGTGACTCCCTCCCCCCACAGTTTGTTTTTTGTTGGTCTTTTTTGTTTTTTTGGTTTTTCCTCAAAACCTTAGTTGTTTTTTGTTTTTGCTTTTTTTGGGTTTTTGTTTTTTGGGGGTTTTTTTCCTCTCCTTTTATTTTCAAAGTCTCTTCCTGCTCCTAATAAACAGGCTTTGGTCTGCAGCAAGGCCTAGGCATGACTATTCAGTTAGAGGGAGAGGAGACATTCACTTGAACAGTTTAACTTCTTGCTGGTTTTGCTCTGTTTTCTGGCTTTTTAGAAGGAGCCTGATTGAACCTAGCTATTGAAAGCTAGTTTCTCCAGTTATTACTTTTCCTTTTATCAGTCTGTTATAGATAAATTATAGAGGCCCAATTCTAAATCATATTTAACATATTTAACAAACTTATAATGCAGTATCATTCAGTTAAATCTGTATTGCCCGGTGTAATTTACTGAAGTTAAAAAATGGTGGGCATTCAGTTATCTCCTCCTACTACTGTACTCATATCATAGATGTGATAATATAGAAGTTAAGAGCTTAATTTGAAAATGTTTTTGGAGTTTCCAACTCACTATGATGTAAGGTATATACAGATACTCTGGTACTTTAGCCCATCATTTTGAGCTAAACAGGTCTGACTCAAAACTTTTATATTTAAAAACAATTGTTTCTGTTGTAAGGAAATTTTAAAACGATTGGCAGGTGTTTGATTCCTTGTCTAGTAAGGTGAGAAGTATCATATTCCCTAATACTATTTATTTAATGTAAAGAGGACACATAGTCAAACTGGAATAAAAAAGTAATGGAGCCTTTTTGTCCATTGGACTTATCATTGCCTCCTTCAGAGGGGGTGACCTGCAGCCATGATGGAAAGTTGTCCCTGCCCTCTGAGGTCCTGTCTGGGTCTGTGCCGGTAGAACTTGGACCTGTTGGGAGAGGAGGTGGAGGCCTGAAAGCACTTTACTCAAAAGCTTTCAGTAATGTGGTTTTTAAACAGGCTTGCTATGTGCTGGTAGCTTCTTTGTGCATCTTGCCTAGACAATTAAAAATATTTGCTCCATGTCCCCTTGCATTTCTAAATCGAATCAATTGGCTACCATTAGAATAACTTAGACTCTTCATCCCAGTCCCCCTCATCCAAGTGAGGGGAGAGGGAAGGTACCTGAGTCTGTTTCTTGTTACTCAACATCAGTGCTTGTTTTGGGCCCCTTTGTTTGCTGCCTTGTAAAAAATCAAAAGGAGGGAGAAAACCCACCAAAATGGCAGAATTCTGACCAAGGTCCTACAAGATCCTGGAAAGTGAAGGCTTCTACCTCATAGACAGGGGTGCGATTTTCAGCTGAGTCACCAGGCCTTTTTTCACTTCCTGTCGAGCGATGATCTCTTAAATGTTCCCTTCAGGTAAGTTCTTTGATTCCCATAATTTTGTAGTAATCATCCTCAAGGCAACCACTATTCCCTTTCCACTGGGATATTTTTTATTTCTCCTTTTTGTTTAAACTACACGCTGTTAAACTAAAAGTATTGAATTTATTTTGTTTTGTTTTTTAACAGAAGCTTTGATATCAGCTGCAGATCCCTCAGTACATGGCCGAGGCAAATCTACATTGGCCCGAAGCAGCTCTAGATGGGCCTGTTGGCTAGCCTTAAGACCCTCCCAATTAGTGATTGGAGATTCAGGCCATGTCCTAGGGCTTTCCAGACCAAAGGTTCTTAGGCAGCTGGCCAAAACATTAACTTTTCCATTTCTTACCCTGCTACAGCATCTTCTATAAAGGCAGCAAGATAATATTGTGGCAGTGCACAAATAACATCAGGGCAGGCTTGACTGGAGAAAAACAAATTCTGCGCTTGCTCCTGTGTGCCTTCGGCCAGCTATGTGCACACACAGGACAGCTTTCTAGAGAAGAACTTGCACCATGTCTGCCCCCTATTGAGCCCCTCCAGAAGTACTCCCAAGTATTAGATCTGAATTGTTGACTGCAACCCCCACCCCACCCTCAATGCCAGTGCTTTCTGCTAGGAAAGCATACTTTTGTGTGTTTGTGCAGTAATTCCACTTGCTCTGCTTCCAAGGGCTATACTCAGTGGGAGCGACTAACTCTGAAGATGTGGTCATGGATTATAATCCCCCCACCCCTCCCAACCCTTGCCCTGTAAGTTTTTTTTCTTTGTGGCATCAACGACCCTAGCCTGAGACTCACGCTGCCCCCTGTGATAAGTGCCTTCTCGTCTTTCTGGTGTGATTCGGGACTTTAGGGGTCAGTAAAGACCGAGGAGCCTTTATTGTAATAAGAAACAGACATAATGCCCCTTCTTCACAAGCCCTGTAACAACAGCCAATTTTTTTTTTTTTTTAATCATCTCCCCTTTCCCCCTGAAATTAATCCAGTCTGGGCAATAGATGCAGTCTGACCCTTTGGATGTAACCTACATTTTTTTTTTATTAATTATTTTTTTCTACAATCACCCCAATTACCTTGGGGGAGGCGTTGGAGGACCTGAAATTTTTACCCGAACCCAGGTTCTCCGGCGCTTGGCAACCAAATGGGGCTACAGAGAAGCATCTAAGCCAGTTCACAGAGCGAGCGTGTGTGGGGACTTCTCACTGCCACGGACCCTTGATGCATGCTCCCCGCGCTCCAGTGGTCCCGTGTCAGAAGGCGGAGTTTTCGAAAGGAGGCCGCCAAAAATAAAAGGCAAAGAGACGGGATCGGCTGCAGCGGTTTCCCAAAGGAGGAGGGAGTGTGCATCGGTCTGGTAACAAACAGAGAATGTTTTTTCATTATTTATATCACAAAAATCTGTGTTTTATCTAGGATATTTTCTGAATATTCTTTGTAAAATGCAGATTTTTTTTTCCACAAAACATTAGGATTCTGTTATATTCTTAAATTTGTTTGTTTTAAGTAGGTAAAAAAATACATTTAGCTGAAAGCATTACACTAACATTTACATACTGTAAGCATTAGGAGATTATTCAGCCCAATTCCCAGCAGTAGAGAGAATATTAAAACTTGTGTCTCAAGGTTTCATTTTTTTCCCATGTTCTTTGGCTATCTATTTAATTTCCCAGGTCACATAGACAATCTTTGATCATTGAAACAAGTACTAAGCCTGAAGTAACCTTGAGTTGGGCAAAAAACTTCATTTGACAGAAGCTGGGTTTGGTAGTATAGTGAAATTTTAGTGTAATGTATGCTTGTGGTAATTCAAAGGGGAAGGATATTTTTTTGCAAAGGAAATTAGGTGTGTACTTTGGCTCTGATCAGTTTGCTGTTTTTTTTTTTTTGTTTTGTTTTTAATATAAGAGCAAAAAGGAATTAACCTAAATGTTAAGTCTCCTTGAAAATGTAGTAATAAAACACATGAAGCTCCTTTTTTCATTTTGCTCTGTGACTGGTTCAAAGGTAAGTTTGTTATGTTGTTGGTAGATTTTTGCCAGGCTTCTCCCAACAGAGTAGAAGTGATTTGGCCCTGTAACATAACAGTGGTTAGCACTTGCTTTCTGTATTCCAGTTTTGGAAAGGATGGCACTGGAACTTGGTGGTCTAAGGACCAACGTTGGTGCAGCTCCTGTCAGTACATTGGTCAACTATAGATGCGGCAGGAGTTTGATGGCTGGATGGGATTTCCTTAGAGTTCAATGGCCAGTAAAGATGCCAATTCCCATGCATGTCCCAAGAATCACTAATCTTCTTTTACTCTGTTGGGATGAGTCTTTTTTTGTTCCTGCTCAGAGTGGTTACTAACTGCACCTTCTCTCCTCTTGCTGTCATCTGCATTCGTGCTTCCCACCTGTTGTTGGCATGTCCTTTACCTTCTCTTTCCCTGCCACGTCAACCTGCACGCTGACTCACCATTGACGTGGAAGATGTGGAAGATGTCAAGTTTGTGATCAACTATGACTATCCAAACAGCTCAGAGGATTATGTACATCGTATTGGCAGAACAGCCCGTAGCACCAACAAGGGTACTGCCTATACCTTCTTCACCCCAGGGAACCTAAAGCAGGCCAGAGAGCTGATCAAAGTGTTGGAAGAGGCTAATCAAGCTATCAATCCAAAACTGATGCAGCTGGTGGACCACAGAGGTGGCGGCGGAGGAGGGGGTAAGGGTAAGTCCTGGAGTTTTCCAGGTACTGCCAAGGTATCTTTTACATTTATTATGTCTTGGTTTATCTTTATTTATTTATTTATTTATTCATTCATTTAAGTGGTGGGGCTAGGGATCCAACCCAGGGCCTCATGCATGCAAGGCAAACACTCTGCCAACTTAGCTATATCCCCAGCCCCTGTTTTGGTTTATTAATCCTGTGGAAGCTTTAAATATATTGCTTAATAACAAAGGAGAGTGCTTAGTAATTTTCCTGAATTTTTATGTATTTTTCATATATTTAGCAGCATAGTATTTCTGTAGTCATCTAAAATTGATCTTTGTGAAATATATGGTACATGTTCATCATTAAGCTAAACTACTTTTTAATACCTTAAATGCTTAGCATCTTAGTTTTCAGTTTCTATATGAAGTCAGTGATTTTACAGAAATTGAGACATGGTTGTCTACCATTGCAGAATATACTAGGAGTTAGACTTCCTAACTCCAGGTTTGTTGTGTTAAGATTGTAGTCTTGGTCATGCTCAAGTAAAGAGCCTAAAACCAGTGGAGTAAAGTGCCTACTTGGGGGCTGGACTAGCTGAAGGTCAAGGACTTTTTTTTTTTAAGTTATTGATGGACATTTATTTATTTATATGTGGTGCTGAAGACCAAACCCAGAGCTTCACACATGCTAGGCAGGCACTCTACCACAGAGCCACAACCCCAGCCTATACCCCTTCATTTTTATATTTGGTTTTTTTGTTTGGATCATAGGCTTGGCATTAAAAAATACTTTTTATCCTTCCATCAGGAGGTCGTTCTCGATACCGGACCACTTCTTCAGCCAACAATCCCAATCTGATGTATCAAGATGAGTGTGACCGGAGGCTACGAGGAGTCAAAGATGGTGGCCGAAGAGACTCTGCAAGCTACCGGGATCGTGGTGAAACCGATAGAGCCGGTTATGCTAATGGCAGTGGCTATGGAAGTCCAAATTCTGCCTTTGGAGCACAAGCAGGCCAATACACCTATGGTCAAGGCACCTATGGGGCAGCTGCTTATGGCACCAGTGGCTATACAGCCCAGGAATATGGTGCTGGCACGTATGGTGCTAGTAGCACCACCTCAACCGGGAGAAGTTCACAGAGCTCTAGCCAGCAGTTTAGTGGGATAGGCCGTTCTGGGCAGCAGCCACAGCCACTGATGTCACAACAGTTTGCACAACCTCCAGGAGCCACCAATATGATAGGTTACATGGGGCAGACGGCCTACCAGTATCCTCCTCCTCCCCCTCCCCCTCCTCCTTCACGTAAATGAAGCCACTCAGTGGTGGTGACTCCTGTAGACTTAATTACATATAAAGGAACACTGTCTTTACTTCCCCCCTTCCCTTTTTCTTTATTTTTTTTTTTATTGTTTTTTTTCCCCCTCCCAACCATTGTGATTTGTCTTTTCATGCAGATTAGTTAGAATTCACTGCCAGGTTTCTTCTGCCCCCGCTCCCCCAATCCAGTCTATAATAACAGATTTTGTAAAAATATACATAATGACTGGAAGAGAAAAATTTCTTCCCCCAACTTCTTGCATGTTGAGGATATTTGAGCTATTTTTCATCTTAAAAGAAAAAGTAAGGTATTAGGAGGTCCTTTTATGGGAGCCCATTTTTTGTTGTTGTCCTGAGTTTGTTGGGAGGCAGGGGGGAGGACTGGATTGTCCTGCAGAAGAAGATGGCATCTGTGCTGTGAATTACTCTCATCACTGGGTTAGAAAACCAAGAGGAATTTCCCTGCACATTTTCCATGATTTTTTTTTTTTTTTAAGCATTTCTCAAGTTGGATCAGGGTTCCTCCGGCCTGATGAGGTTTTTTTGTTTTGTTTTGTTTTTTAAGACCATGCTTTGCCATTATCATTTCTGCTGATGGCTTGAGTGCATTTGACAGTTAAATATTTTTAATTGGTTTTCTCTTCTCTTACAGTCTGCCTTCCCCTCTCCCAGTTACTGAAAAATAACCAGTGTAGTGTCAGGTTAGAAATTGCTGAGTGTCAGTTTAATTCTCTCTTTTAATTAAAAATCACAAGGGTTAATGGCATTGGTTAAACTGCAGCATCTTGGCATTGGGGTGGAAACTTGCCTGTTTTTTCTTCCCCACTTAACCAGGGACCATCTGTGAAATTAATTACCTGGCCTGACAGTTACTATGAGCAAATGAATGTCAGTGCTCACTGGGAATTTAATTTTAAGTAGTCGAGCCTCTGCATTCACCTGCAGTGTGTAAGGAACCTTTAATGATTAAACATTGTATTCAAAATGGGCAGATTTTCCTTTTCAATTCAGTATTTGTAGAACTAGGATAAAAGCAGCTCTCTTTGCCAGTCACTCTGCCCCTTTGGCCAAGCTATTGTGAGCAAACACTCTTAAGCCCCCCTAAGCTCTTCATGCCCTGTCCTGCGTGCTTTCTAACAGCTTCTGAAGGTATGCTGTCCTCAATATCCCTTTGCACTCAGCTTTTCACAGGTAGGTAACTCTTAGGAAATGTTCTGGAGGACTCAAGCCCAAGTCCTTTTTTAATTTTTCTCCATGTGAAGGTAGGTGGGTTGGTCCCCTTCATAGTGATATTGTCTTATTATTAAGACTTGAAATAGCAGATGGACCTGGAAAAAATATTCTGCTTTGTGTTCACCATAACCATAGAGCGGGCGGGCAGGCAGACAGCCTGCCTGCTCCAGAAGCCTCTTCCAGATCCACTGTGGTGGAACTGTTCATTTTTATGCTGTTACCAGTATCACAGTGCAGTTAAAGGAAAGGCTCCCCTGCGTTCTTAGGCTACGGCCTGAACATGCTTATTGGTTTGTAAGATCTAAGAATTTAAATACTTGAGGATTTTTTTGTTTTTGTTCTCCTTTTAAAATCCTTCAGGGGGAGAGAAGGGATGGTTTCTGAGGGGTTCTGATTCAGTTGCAGCATACCAGGTAGGTTGTCAGCATAAGCTGATATGTGTGCATGTAAAAAAATAGAGGCCGAGGATGGTAGGCACAGAAGAAATACGGCAAAACTGTTCTGTGCTTTCAAACCAAAGTGAGTGTCATGTCCCCCCCACACCTCACCCCATCCCTCCCCAAAGAGAAGGTATCTAAGCACTGATCAATCTCTTGTGGACATTTCTGTTTTACAACCAAATTCTGATTTTTTTTTTTTTTTTTTTTTTTCCGACATAGAGATTTCACCACAGGGAATGCCCTACTCTATTGCAGCTCCTAAAAGCATCCATTTCAGGGAAAGGTACACGAGCAATATCTGGACTGCTTGCTTCCCTTTTCCATCAGGGACATAATCTCAAAATGAAAAAATAGCAAATTCCAAATTTCAAGAGTTCTTGTGGCCTGAGCGCAGCTGAAATTTAGTAGGTTGTTTTTTTTTTTTTTTTTTTTTATGTAGCTCTTTGAATTTCTGCCTCTATGTCATGATTCAGGTTCGTCTCTTCAGAACATGAGCAGACAAATCCTCATCTGATGCCGGTTACTGCATTCACAGTTGAAACTCATTTAGGGAAAGGGTTTTCAGTATTAAACCACAGGCCGCTTCTCCCCAGTCCCTCCCTAACAATTCATTGTGCGGACTTATTTCATCTAAAAGGTTGGTGGCTTTTGCTTGGGATCAGTGCTCTCTATATACATGTCCTTGCTGGTCTCTGAACACATTCCTGTTGCATTAAGACTTGAAAGATTTGTAGGTGTGTGATGTTCAGGCACAGGATGCTAAGAGCTATGTTACTATTCTTAGTTTGTAAATTGTCCTTTTGATACCATCTTGTTTTCTTTTGTAGGTATAAATAAATAAAAACTGTTGACAATAAGGTGTGAACTTTTTATTCCTTAAAATTTCTCTGAGTAACCCAGTATAGAGCTTTTGCTCTAAGACATTAAGTTGGGTGGCTAATCTCCTTAAACATCTAAAACTGATTAGTTTTAGAGCAAGAATGTGAATCACAAAACAAGATGAAGGGTACTTCTTGTAAATGCTTGGGTATCTAGCTCATCAGGAAAAGGGTGATCTTTGCTAATGGTGCCCCACTCGGGCCATTCCTTAGGGTTAAGGTTCTAAGTTCAGGGCTCCGGTGAACCTTAAGTAAAATTTAAGCCAAGTAAAGGGGACTCACAGAATGACTTCACTCCTTCCAAAGCTGGTGAATTTGGTTTGTTTATGGCTTGAAGTCCATATTAAAGTGAGATAGCTGGCTATAATCTTACCCTGACCAGTTTGGTCTCTTACAGTGACGTTTACTACAGGAACATGCCCGTAATATAGCCCACCAGGTAGGGCGGTCTCCCATGGACATTGTTCCACATTGCCCTTTCCAGGCAGGAGTTGTGCTAATATTAATCTATTCATGGATCAGGCACCTTAGTTTCTCTTTCCAGGTAGCCAGGGCTTTAGGTTTGTATTTGGCCCCAGCTTCTTGTTACCTCTTGCGTGGGTATTGAAGGCAAGATCCTGCTGATGAGGCCTAGATAGCTGAAATCCATACTAAGCATTTTTCTGGCTTTAATTTTAATATTTGATCCCAAGTCATGGATAGGTCACCAAGGAGAACAATCAAAATGGCTTGCTCCATGTCCTTATTAAGGTGTAGGTCATCTCTGAGGGCCCTCAGATTGGCATTGGAAGACTTAACTTCTTTCCTTTAAGTACTGGAAGAAAATGGAAATGAAGTTAGAATGTATTGTATGGATCAAAGGACTGGTTTGTGACCACATAATCCTGTCTCCACATCCAGCTCCAGGTGTTGATGTTAAGGCCATAGGGGAAAGGGTTTTCAGTATTAAACCACAGATGAACCATGGACTTGCTGACCTCCGTCTTGGTTACTGACACTCCATCCCTCTTAGGTTGTAAACTTAACATTTGGCCTCAATTCTACCTCTTAAACCTGGATAATGCAGCAGTTCCCTAACTAGCTAGTTCTACTGCTCTGGCTTCTTTTGACCAACATAGCAGCTAGAGGATTGGTTTTTTAAATGGCTCCTCCAGTCACTGCTCTTTTTTTTTTTTTTTTTTTTAAAGAAATTTTTTCAGTATTTATATTTTAGTTTTCGGCGGACATAACATCTTCGTTTGTATGTGGTGTTGAGGATCGAACCCGGGCCGCACGCATGCCAGGCGAGCGCACTACCGCTTGAGCCACATCCCCAGCCCCAGTCACTGCTCTTGATAAATGCAGACCCCTTACCTTGGCAGCCCAGTGACCTGACTTCTCCAGTTTTGTGGATTGGATCCTGTTAACCTGCATACTTAACATTGCACAAAGCTGGCTGATGCTCAGGAGTGTTTCACCTGTATTTTCCCAACTAAGTCAAAGGTCATGGCTCTTTTGGTCTGTTTTCTCTTGGTGCAGCATACTGAAAATCCTTGCCTTCCCTATTAGACGGAACACTGCAGAGAGGAGCCCGGGCTCACCCCTGTTCCCTTGGGTATTATGGGATGAATGAGTAACGGCCAGAGCCTACTGGACATGCTTTCCTCCCAGCACCTACCTTTGGTCACATACAGGTAGAAGAAATCACAGTAGAAGATGGTTTGCACCACTCCTGACACCACCGCAATCTGGTCATAGAAGTTCTCAGTCTGGTACCGCCTGATCCAGTTGGCCAGGTAGAGAGCCCGGTAGAGTCCCAAGAAGAACAAGTAGTGAGTGGTGATGGTCTCGGCCTCCCCAGTCTTGCTGATCATGAAGAGCTGGGGCAGGATGGCCACTGACTCCAGGTAGATGGAGAAGGTCCAGAGGATCTGAGCCCAAGAGACAAGCACAAAGGAGCTCAGCAAGGCCAGGAAAGGGCCTGTGGCTTTAAGAGATGTAAATACATGTTTCCTGGAGGGAATATGTTCAGCAAAATGGTTTAAATTCACATTCTCAATAAAGAACTAAAGGAGTCGTGCCTCTGGCTCAGGTGGAGCCCTTGCCTAGTATGCTGGGTTCCACCCCCAGCAAACTGCACATGTGGGCTTTGAGTTTTTTCTATTTCTGGTTCTGGTGATGGAACCCAGGACCTTGCATGTGTTAGGCAAGCACTTCACCACTGGGCTACACATCCCCAGCCCCACACTTCAGTATTTTGTCACCTTTTTTTTCCTATGTAAATATAATTTTGATTTTTAATATTAAGACTACAATACGTAATGCTTAGAATGAGTATTTCTAAGGAACATAATTTTTAAAGGTTGCAATTTTGCTGAACTTGTCATAATTGAAGCCAGAGTTTCTCAAAGTGATCCATAAATACCAGCATCAAGATCTCAGGCTTGTTGTCCACAGATTCGTAGCCATCAGGCCAGGCACACTGGCTTAAAACTTTGGCCTAAGCTTGGTCTAGGGATCTGCTAATCCTATGTTGGACTCAAGGTCTCAACAAGCAGAAGTAGGCTGGCGCCACTGGCTCATGAGCCTCTTGGCTGCCGCAGGTGTGCCTCTCTTCTGTGGAGGACTGTGACAAGCTTGTTGCCATTTTCCAAATTTGGAACTGAACAGTCCTTGAGCAAGGGTCACAGAAGGCAAGCCCAGATGCCTCCGTGGGCCTGAGGGATGGATGCTAGGGGCACATTTGGGGGATGTGGGCTCAGAGCCTCCCTCACCTCCAGGGGTGTAAAACTGTAGTTCTCCAGGAAGGAAAGGCCAATGACGGGGACCAGAAGAAACTCCAGGCGGAATGTGTCATTCTCGATGTCAAATGTTTTCCGAAATTTCCCATAGATCATGTACACTGTGACATAAGCACAGAGGAGGAAAACCACCTAAAAAGGGAAAGAGCCGTGAGAGCCTAGGAAGCCACTCCCCAGCCTGAAGCCTGCCAAACCCAGGGCTGGGTGCCTGCCGTCTGGCCAGCAGGTGAAATGTGCTCTTGCAATCCGGAATGAACAGCTTCTAACTGGGACTGAAATGTGCGGCCCGGTTGTCCCCTCCATCTGTGGAGTACTGGGCAAGAAAACAGGACCAGTATTTCTTAGGGGATGAGGCAGTGGCATTCTAGGGCTCCTAAAAAATCCTCCAGCTTCCTGGATCCGCATCGATGGCTTTCGAACATTCTCCCTCAGACTGACCTCCCTGGAATTATTTGGCCAGTGTTCCTTTAGAAAAGCAGTCTAATTACCCTAGCTGCCGCCTGGCAGGTAACTTCATTCAGATATGTCCTCTAACCTCCTTGGCCACATGCAGACACTCAAGCGTGAATCAGAATTACCCAGATGGGTGCACACCTGCAATCCCAGCCACTCAAGAGGCTGAGGTGCTAGGATCACAAGTTCAAGGCTAGCCTGGGCAAAAAGTAAACCGGGCTGAGGATGTGGCTCAATAGGAGAGCACCCCAGGGGGCTTGTCCCAATATTGAAAAAAAAAAATCCCTTAGATGGGCTGCCCTGCCCCAGCCCCCAAAATTCTTCCTTTGCTTGTTAGGTCTGATACGATACCTTTATTTTTATTTATTTTTATGTGGTGCTGAGAATTGAACCCAGGGCCTTGCACACACCAAGCAAGTGCTCTACCACTGAGCCCCAGCCCCAGCCCCTAGGTCTGAGAATTTGCTTTTCTAAGTTTCCAGCTGATGGAGATGCTGCTGGCACAGTGGCCTAGATTTACCTGTCCTTCAAGACTAAAGTGACATAATTTCCTCTTCACTAGAATGAAGGACACTTGCTGTCACTACTGCTCCATGTGCAAATGTTCCCTGCAGCCCGGGCTCCTGTGTTCTGTAAATGTGTATGTACAAGTCCTTCTCCCATGCAAGAGGGCTCACAGAGGGCAGGGTCCACCTCTGAATCCCCAGCTCCTAACTCAACGCCTGGAACAGACAAATGCTGGAAAGTGCAGATGCAGCCGTGGTCCCCTGTCTCACAGATGTGTGGAGACTGGCCAGTTCAGGATTCCTAGGTCTCACCAGCCATGCTAAGGGCTGGTTCTGAAGTCTCAGCCAAGAATGTCCACAGCAGATCCTTGAGCAGAGGAATGGACTAGACAAGTGGCATCTGATATTCAGGTGAATTTAATTAGGTGATTTGAAGACCCCAGACTCAGGTTCACAATGAATGAGTTCAATACTCCACAAGGAGCAGCACCCTCCATCCTACCAAGCCTTGTACCCAGACGCCTAGGAGGTGTCCCTTTGGGTTAAATACCTTCTAGCTTCTGTATATTACCTCGTAATTTTCAGAACAGTCCTGTGACATAGGTAGGACCTCCCCCCCATAGGACTTCTATCAGATAATGCACCAACTAAAAACTACACTTCCTGGCTCCTTGGCAGATAAGGACACTCAATGGCACAGGGTGGAGTTTGGGGAAAGCTCTTACCCAGCTGGCAGGCACTCTATTATTCTATTTCCCACTTCCTTCTTCCTGCCCAGAATGCGATATAACGTGGTAGCAGCTGTGGTAGGACATGCATTCTGTGACCCCATGCCAACCTGGGTTCCAACTAGGCGTCATTCAGGACTAACTACATTGCCAGACCCACTGTCAGACTAAAATGCAGAGCTTCTTGCTTTAAAAAACAGAATCTCAAGATGGCAACATTAAACCAAGTGGGGGCCCTGCTGATCCACTGCACAGGTCACACACCTATAAGCCCCAGTCACACAAAAAATGGCAGAGCAGAAAGTTGAAAGGAGCCTGGGCATCCATGGGGCTGCCAATCCCAGCCCTGGGTCGCCTGCCCCCAGATTTCATGTTATGAGAATGAAAAAATAAGGCCTTGTGAAGATCACCCTGAAATCTGTCACCAGCACCCCAGCAGTCCCCGCCCACATTGCTGACTGCACCTGTGCTCCTTCCACTGAACTGCGCTGCTTAAAGAGCCAGGACGGTTC